CAAAAGCATCAGAGTTCTCCCTGGGGACCACCTACATCCTAACACCTCCACACACTGCCACACGCCGGCTTCATGGTCTTTACCAACCAGATTCTTTGTCATCATTGTCCTCTCTCCCACCTCTTGGCTTGAGCTCGCCAAACCCCAACTCTACCGCATAGCAGCATACATTACTGCCACATTATTCTAATGATTTCTGTCTTGGTTTCCAAGTTCAGATTTCTATGAGAAGCAACTGACTCACATCACCCTCCTATACCAAATTACAGGTCATTGGCCAGTTTCTATGGATTGAAAACTCGAGTAATAACTTAAGTGCCCACTCGGTGTAGCTGAGGATGGACAAGACATTAAGTTTCCCGGAAAACTATGATACTGCCCATAGCTTCCCATCTGTTATAAAACAAAAACAAAAACACAGCAGAGCATGGGAATTAATGCTAGAATCCCAGCACTTGGGAGGTGGAGGCAGGAGAATTAGAAATTCATGACTATCTTTATCTGCATAGCAAGTTTAGGATCTGCCTGTGCTACATGAAACCTTATCTCTAAATGTCCAACTTCCCCAAAACAAGACCTGTTTCCTTAACCCTTTATTTACCTGTTTCATAAGAAGATACTGGTGTTCTTCCTACCACTTGGAAAAACATTTAATTTTGTTGGAAAATCAATACATTTGAACAGCAAAATACCCAGAATACAGAAAGACAGGCAGCCTTGGGCAGAGTGCTGTACACTTGCAATCTCAGTATTTGGGAGGATGAGGCAGGAGGACTATAAACTTGAGACCAGTCTACCTACATAGCAAGTGTGAGGCCAGCTTTGGCTACATAGTGAGACCTTGTCTCAGAAACCAATACTAAAAATGAATAAAGATATAGGACTGGAGAGATGACTCATCAGTTAGCACTTGTTACTCTTCTGGAACCTGTGTTCAGCTTTCAGCACTCACAACAGCAACTCACTATCATCTGCAGCCCCTGCTCCAGGGAGTCTGACTCCCCCTTTTGGCCTCTAAGGACACCTGTACACAGCATGCGCGCGCGCACACACACACACACACACACACACACACACACACACACACACACACACACACTTAAAAATAAAAGGAAATCATCTCATATTCTCAAGGCTCTTCTAGAGGCAGCCACAGTCAACAGTTTTTAACGTGTCCTTCAGGAAAAAAAAATGAGACCGATGTCCAAAATTGGCCTTGCTTTTCTGAAGACGAGTAGATATTTGGGACCATTCCATGTCAAAATACAAAAATTGTTTTTATTTTTAAAAAATGCCTTCATAGAAATCCACCGTGATTTCTGTCTTACTTTCATTGTGTAATGTTACGGTGGAACCCAGGTCTCGTGGATGTCACCGTCTGTCAGCCTTCCTCTGGGTTCTGTGGCCTCTCCTTCCCCTCTCTGCCACTGGACTCCAGCTACTCCGTGGCGTCCGAGTACTGCCTCTGGGGGTCTCTCATCTCGTTTTCCTTTATTAATTCATGACTTAGTTCTAAAAGTGTCAGGGTAGTACTTTTACCAACCTCATCTTCCTTCCAGCACGGGATTTCCGGTGGCTCCCGTGTCCACAGTACCAGTGTGAACCCTTAACTGAGTGTTCAGCTCTTCCTAGAGCCTGGTCTGCCTCGGGGCCTCTCATCCCTGCACTCTCCATGCGAGAGCTCTGCTGGCGCCCTCAGCCATATCTCTCTGCTTCTCTTCCTGGTGCTCCCCTTCCTGCCCGAACCCTCTTATCCTTCATGACCACTTTGAGACTGCTCACTCTGACAGCTTGCTCTGCACGGCTCTTCTCACAGCTCTCCAGTTGCTTGGTTTTAACCTCTCATTGGCATTTTCTAACTAACCTTTTTCTCTTCCGCAACTACATACGTCTTAGGAAAAGGAGCCCTCCTGAAACTTTTTTTTAAACACACACACACACACACACACACACACACTCACACACACACACACACACACACACTCACTCACATTTATTTATTTGTGTATGGCAGGGCTGGGTGCATGGATGTCAACTTGAGGAAGCTTCTCTTCTTCCTGGGAACAAACAGGCCATCAGGCTTGGCGGGGAGCATTGAGTCATTTGATGGCCTCCCAGGTGTATTTACAAGAGGGAACTCTGGGAGGAGCAAGGACAAAAGGGAGGACAAGAAAGGACAACTGAAGGGTGACTATGAGCAAAGAATCTGACGTGCATGTGTGAAGCCATCTTAACGAAACTCATTATTTTGTTCTATTTCTAATGGTAAGAAAAGTTAAAAAGAAGTCGCCAGCTAATCATCAAGGAAAGCTAAGCCTTTCCACACAGTAGGATCCTTCAGAGACACTTAGACTTTCACAATACCAAAAGTGGCTGCTGTGAGCTCACGAAGTCCTCACATTGCACAGGCTTTCTTGCATGGAAAAGACAGACCCTACTCCACCCCAAATCAGACCCAGTCTGCACCCACAGACTGCCAGCAGCTCTTCTAAAGCATGTCCACAGAGTGGTCACCAATCACTAACTGGGGTAGCAGGAAGAATAAAAACCCAGAGGCAGACACAAAGCAGCCAGTAGAGGGTTCTCACCTCTACCAAGGCTGGAGTGATCCTGTCCTTGGTGTGACTGAATGCAGACTGAGACCCTGAGCACCTGTCACATTCCTGTCTAGCGCTGGGATTAAAGGCGTGCACCAGCAGCAGCACCACCACCACTACCAGCACCACCACCACCACTACGTGCACCACCACCACTACCACCACCACCACCACCACCACCACCACCACTGCCTGGCCTCGGTGGCTGATTAGTGTGGCTAGCTTTGCACTCTGATCTTCAGGCAAGCTTTTCTGATCATAAACAAAATATCACCACAAACTGATTCTACATTCTTTGGACATATCAAAGCGAAGGTGGTGGTCACAGCAGTCCAAGCTTGTACCCCCAGCACCTTTGAGGCTAAGGCAGGAAGACTACCATGGGTTCAAGGCCAGCTTGGGTTATAGAATGAGACCCTGCCTCAGAGAAACCAAAATACGAAATAAATAAAAAGTAAAGGTGTTTCTGGTCATCTACCTATTTTGTTACCTTCAAACCTAAACTCTTTTGCTTAGTCTGTGAACTTTAGCCTTTGTAGTGGGTTAAACTACACTCTTTCAAAAGTTTATTTTTCTCCTTGAAGTGACTCAGTTTTATGAAACAGGATCTCATCCTGGCTGGCCTGAGGCTCAGTATCTCCCTACCTTACCCTCCTGACTAGGGGTATTACAAGCCTGCCTTAACCATACTCAACTCCTGAAAGTTTAACTACAGAGCAAGACTGTATCTCTTGACAAGCAGTATGACAGTCACCTGTAATCCCTGCACTTGAAGGCTGAGGTAGGAGGCTGTGACGGTCAGGCCTGTTTGGGTTACCTACTGAGACTCTCTTAAGAGTCAAACCCAAACAAAACTCTCTTTACAGGTACACACATAAATAAAAAGTGTAGCTGGATGGTGGTGGTGGATGCCCTTAATCCCAACAGCGACAGGTGATCTCTGTGAGTTCAATGCCAGCCTGCTCTACAGACTGAATTCCAGGACAGCCAGGGCTGTTACACAGATAAACACTGTCCTGAAAAACAACACACACACACACACACACACACACACACACACACAAAGAAAAAAGTGTAGGGGGATAGAAAGATTTGGAAGGACACATCTACAAGGACATATTTCTGAGAGAAACGGATTGGCACATATTAGGTGCATTGTTTTCTGTATTTTATTTTAAAATGTATTTGTATATTGCCACTCACATTTGTTGTCAACTTTTTAAAATTAAAGTTCATGGTGCAGCCAAACATTAGCTCAGGACGCGTATCCTGCATTGATATTTCCAATCTTAACCAAATTTCCTGGCAACCTGCTCTGTGAAAGCATGTTGTTTGTGCTTGTAGGTGACCAAAGTCAGTCCATGGACCAAATCCCAGTGGTGCAACATTACCACCGCAAAACCTTGTCCCTTCGAGGGGCGGAGTGTGTCGCTCGGAGTCAAAGTAAAGGAACTTGCGCTCTCGTTCTGATCCACACGGATATACTGGGGGTGTGGGGGGGTGTGCTTTGCGCAGATCGCTTTATTATGAAAGGTCAGATGGCTTCGGGGTGCGAACGAAGGTCTCCCATTCTATTCTGAGACCGTGCGAATTCAAAGGTAGCTAGACACCCGGTCTCCCACCGTGTGTGACATGTAAAGGACGCACTCCGGATTTCAAGCTTTCGCTCGCCGGGGTTAGCACGCATCTGAAAGGAGCGAGCGAGCCCTTTCGTCCCAGACCGCCGGGGGTTCCTTCACCCAGCCCGTACCGGGAGAGCACCTGCGGGCAGGGGCGGGCGACTCTACTACAGTTCCCAGCATACCTCTGTCCCGCCGGCCCCGGGCGCCCCGGGCAGGCGGGGTCTCGAGGTCCCGGCCGGGCCGGCGGGGGCGCGGAGGCGCTGCGGGATCGGTTTCCCTTCCCGCCTGGGGAGCGCAAGTGCCCTGGGAAGTCTACGGTCCGGCCCTGACGGCGCCGGGAGCCGGGCTCTCCGCAGCGAGCTGCCAGCGCCGCGAGGGACACGCCCCGGAAGCGGCTTCCAGCCACTCAGAGCGGAGCGGCGGGGGTGGGGGCGGGCGCTCGCGGGGCGGGGCCGCGGCGCGGGCGCGCGCGACTGGGGTGGCGGCGGGGACGCGCCCGTGGGGAGAGGCGGCGGCGGCGGCGGCGGCTGGCGGGGGGGGCGGGGGAGGAAGCACCGGGGAGGGGGCAGGGCGAGCGGAGAGCCGGGTTCCTCAGGCGGCGGCGGCGGCGGCGTCTGGGCCTGAGGAGGGCGGGGAAGGAGGATGGGGCAGGCTGGGCGCCGCGGCCGCGCGTAGACAGGGAAGCCGCGCCGCTCTTCAAGTTGCGCGCGGAGCCGGCCGGGGCCGCCGCAGCCGCAGCCGCCTCGCGCGGCGGGGACGGAGGGCGGGCGGACGGGCGGGACGGAGCGAGCTGGGGCGGACGGAGCGGGCGCTGCGGCGGCGCGCGGGCGGACGGCGGGGGGCACGCGGGAGGATGGAGCAAGTGGAGATCCTGCGGAGGTTCATCCAGAGGGTACAGGCCATGAAGAGTCCGGACCACAATGGGGAGGACAACTTCGCCCGGGACTTCATGGTGAGTGTCCGCCCTCGCCGTCGCCTCGTGCCGCGGCCGCCGAGCCTCGCCCGCCCGGCCCGCCCGGCGCTTTGTGTGCGGTGCGGGGCCGGGCGCGGGGCGCGCGCCCAGCCCGCGGGAGGCGAGGTCGCCCCCGCCCCTCAGCCGCTTGGTTCCGCGGGGCTGCGCGGCCCGAGCTGCGCCCGCCCGCCCGCCCGGCCGGCCCGGGAGCGCAGGGAGCGGTCGGCGGGCCCGGCCCGCTCCGGCCCCCGCCACCCCCTATTGTCTCCCCGGCCGGCCGGGCGGGCGAGCGGGCGCGGGCTCGCCTTCCCTTCCCCGCCTGCCCCTCCGGGGAGGGTCGCGGCCGGGAAGGCGGCGGCGGCGTCAGCCCCGAGTCCCCCTGCCGCTGCCGGCCTCGGTCGGTCGGTACGAGGGGACGGTGGGACGCCGCCGCTCGCCCTGGGCTTGTCCGCGAGGCGGCTGGCGGCTCTCCCGGCCTCCGTCTGTCCCGGACGGTTGAAGGCGGTCGTGCGGCCGCTGTGACTTGAGGCGGCTGAAGGGGGTGGGGTGGGGACCCGGTGTGCGAGGGGCTCATCCCGGAGGAAGCTGAGTCGGGACCCCAGGGGCCGGGGCCGGAGGGGATGTGACTATCACTTCCTATCCGGGGTGGGGGTGGGGAGCCCGGGAACAATGGTCCTGGTGGGGTGGAGGCGACTCCGGGCCGAAGCCCTGAACTCGCAGATAACCCCCGTCCCCCCTTTTCCGCCGCCGCCACCCCCCTTCCGCACCCTGCCGGTGTGGGCAGGCGTGAGTGGAGGCGAGGGGTAAAAGCCTAGAAGGTGAAACTGCCCCGGGTGCCCAACGCGGTGGGCGGGGGAGGGTGTCAGATCCGAAGGCGTGAGACCGGCAGCGACCGGCTTCCTACGTCGCCCCCCTCCCGCTCCTCTTATTTTTCTGCTGGACAATGTTCCCTCTAGGGCTGTTTCCCGGCTTAGGAGGCGGTGGTTGCGGCTGCCGCTGCTCCTACGGATGTTGCGCAAGACTGGGGCGTTGGAAACCCTGGAGGTCTGGGGAATGGAAAAGGAAATGGGACTTGGGAAGTCCTTTGCTCCCGCTCGCCGGGGGTTGGGAAATGAGCTAGGAAAAAAAAATTTTTTTTGCTCCTGTACAAGGTGCACTTCGAAGAAAAATCAGTTAAGTCTGAAATATGCTTAGGAAAAGTTGAGGTCTGTGGATATGAGTGGGCACGGAACGTTGCCACTTTTTATTCCAAAACGCAGGTGAAGTCACAGAAGTAGGTTTTCGTATTTTAAAGAGATTTCTGTCTCGTAGGACTTAAGCGTCAAAGTTGTCACAGTATTAATAGTATCATGGAGCTTTGTGATTTCCACCTCCGATTTATAAAAATAGAAAGTAGGAGCAAGATTTTGTTTAATATATGGTGAAGACTGAAAAGTGTAGATCAAATAATCCATTTATCCTTTATTTTAAACATTTTGTTATCTAGGTCGTGTTTGGATAAGGGACTTTTGATCTACAAATGTTAAAGTATAATTCTCCTTCCTAACGTCAGGAATTTTGGATGATGTCATTTACCGCTCTGTAGGAAATGTAGAAGACAGTTTATTTAGGCTGTCTAAAGCTGATGGCTCTCTACCTTTGTTGGTTACGGCAGGGACCATGTGGTCCCTGGACGCTCATCGTTTGCATGCGCGTGGACATACTCTTCAAGGGGCATTGTTTGGTAGTGCAGGCCATTCAGACAGGTGCCCAGTCCCTGAGCTTTTGGACAGGGAATGTAGCCTTGGGGTTCTTACTTTGGAGATGAGTCGAGGGTTCCTATTGAAGATGTCAGTTCACAAGGACCAAATCTGTTTCTATTCTTCCATAATACCAAAGTACATGTAGGTAATTCTACATTAGAGATTTGATGACTAAAGCTATTCTTTTATAGTTCTTTTATAGTGCTTGCTTTTTTTATTTCCTGGCTTGATAAGCAACAGCTATAATTATGACTGTTGGCAGTTGACTTTTTTCCCCTTGACTAGAAGGCTGGAAAGGAACTATCCTCTGTCACGGAAAGAGAATCAAAGATGATCTGATGAATTCTGACATGTTATTCTTAAATTTTGATGTGGATAAAAACTCCATTTTAAAATCAACATTGTAGAGCTGAGTTTTAAAGGGTATTATCACTGTTAAAACTGTTTCATTATGGGGGTCTCTCATAATGCAGTTTCAAAATTGGAAATTATAGAACAGTAATTATTAACAGTAGTAATCAGTAGTGGTAGTGCTTATTTATGCTTGGGAAAGTGGATTAGTTATTCATATTGTGGCCCTATTTCAAGCATGGAGCTATTTCCATTATTCTCCCTATGTTTATGTTTGTAATATGTCACAATAAATACACATGCCTTTGTAAGTAGTTGGGGGGTTGCTTTTTTTTTTTGCCTGAGGCACAGGGAGCTTGAACTCACTTTGTGACCTAGGCTGTCTTTGAACTGGAGGTAGCCCTGCCTCAGCCTCCCTAACACTGAGATTAAAGGTGTGAGCCTGTCATACCTGCGATGTCTTTGGGGGTTTTTTAAACTTAAGATTTTGGTCCTTTATTAATTACAACCACTTTCTAGGAATAATTTAAGTAGCTGTGTCACAATGTGGCATTTGCTTATAGTTGAATGTTTAGTCTATTGTATTTTCTGTTAAATACTTTGATTAATATGAATAAAGCCTCTACATGGTTTATTGCCTCCTGTCTCTGTACAGGAAGTAGTAAGTCAGGATACAATGTTTATATGTGCTTACAACCTTAAAAGGTTACTTTATACAACCAACCATATATAAGTAATGTATAAGTATATATATTGTAATTGTTTAATTATATTGATTTTATTTAATGGTTTAGAAATTGTATCTTGTTTGGTTTGAATTTTCTTTTTGGCATTTTTGAATCTAGATCTCATATAGCCTAGACTAGCCTTGAACTTGCTAAGTATATAAGGCTGACCTTGAACTCTGGACTCTCTAGCCTCTACCGTTCAAGTGCCAGAAATAAATTTGCCACTGTGCCTGGAGTGCATGTCTTAATTACTATTGACAGAAAAAGATTCTCCTCAGTAGGCATATAGTGATACCAGCAGTCGGGAGCTGACGGGAGGTGGGGTTGTGAGTTCAGACAAGCCTAGTTTATATGAGAGTGGGGTCTTGCCGTAAACACAGAGAGAGGAGAGAAGGGACTAACTGTTGTTTTGTTTGTGCTTGGCTTGAGTGCCCATGTGCCATGGCGTGGTTCCTCACATGTGAATTTTGTTAGCAAAATGAATAATTTGTGACAGACCTGGGACTTGCGCTTTACTCTCACCTCTTAGGCTAAGACGATGGTGCTCATGGGCATTTGACAGTTTTGACATGTGTGTGGGTTATTCATATGTATGGGTGTTTTGCCTGCTTGTATGTCAATGTGCCTACCACGTGCACACCTGATGCCCAGCAGAGCCCCAAGGAGGGTGTTGATCCCCTGGGACTGTAGTTACAGACAATGGTGAGTTGTCTTATGGTGCCCTTCTGGAGGCTGGGACATCTTTCAGCTCCCAGAGTTAGGTTTTACTCCGTACACATCCCCTGAAGTGGACTGGCAAAGAGGCATCCTTGAACCATGTGTTGAGGACCAGAGAGCCAATATATAATGCAGACATAAGGTGATGCCTGAGCCAGGAAGGCAGGGCTTGGACTGTGAGGAAGGGTGGTTTGATTCCCCTCCTTTTCCTCTGCCACTCTGATATCTAATATTTATATTCCTTTAGGGCCATAATGATAATTGTACACTGATTTCCCCTTGTATCTCTTTCAGGCATGTCCAGCCTTTTGACATTGTAATACCAAGTTGTCATCTATAAATTCACATGGGAAAATCATGCTCTGGAAAAACCTTACTATGTTAAATGAGTTACAGTTCTCCAGGCAGGCTGCAGGTTGGAAACACCTTTTAGGATTACAGGGAAAGTGACATTACTGAGAACAGTGAATGTGCTAGCTTATCATTCCTGTGGTCTTCCCTTCTCTTTCCCCACTCCCTACCTTCCCAGCCTGCTTGATAGGATTATTGGAAGCCTTCTCTTATTCAGATATGTTCTGGTATAGAAGCTGAAAGATGGAGCCTCAGGAGCGCCATGGAATGTTTTAAGAAAGGGCTTGATCTGAATCAGGTCAAGGAAAACAGAGCATGTGTAACAGATTTGATGAAACAAGCTTTACACCCAGTGTGGTGGTACACAGTCATGGTCCTGAGGATCCTGAGTTCAAAGCTAGCCTCGGGTTAAGTACTAGACTGGAGGTAGGGGCGAAAGATGTCTCAATGACTTACCAGGTATGAACAAAGTGTCATGACTCAAAGACCTCCAGCTTGGGGTACAGTCAAGCTAGAAGGTACCATTTATATAGTGGATAAAGGAGTAGGGAGAAACAAGTGGAGCTGCTCAGACAAGGAGGAGGTTTCAGAAGAGAAACAGGTTTAGTGCGGTACATGTTAAATGCTTGAGAAGTGTCCAGTACACATACAGAGCTCACTGTCGCCCACAGGGTGGGCATGTTGGATGTTTGTGAAGACGTGTCCAGTGCACTTTTTACCCACAGGGTGGATTTAGGGAGGTAGCAGTCACACGAGTTTCAGGAGGTAGTTGAAAGGCTATCGACAGGCATGAAGAGTGACCAGCTTTAGCTGGAATAATGTAGGTCTTGAAAAGCAGCTAGAGGGAAATGTTTGTGATTGTTCCTTGGGAAGGTGTGCTCAGAGTGGAGGGACAGGAACCAGGGATCTCAGAAAAGCCCGGAAGGGAATTGAGAAAGGAATTGTTACTAGAGTCAAGTAATAGTGCTAGAAGGACTGGTAGGTAAGATTGGTAAAACACCTATAAAAGCAGGGATTGGAGTATGAAGGAGGCTACATGACAGTGCTTAAGGAGAAAATAGGTGAAGGAGAGGTATAGTTTTAGCTACTTTAACATTTTGAAACTAGATGG